CATCTTCTTCCTGTTCGTCTTTTGCCACTAAAGAGATACATTTTTCCTTTGCTCTTACTTCTTCCAGTCTCTCTGTATAGAACGCCTCATCCTTCACCTTATTCTTCTTCTCCTCTTTCTTACAAAGCATACAATCATTTGCAAGATGATTGGCCTCGTTGCAATAGTGAAAATCTATTCCAGAATCTCCTTTCAATTTATTCTCTCTCTGCTCCTTGACAACTTTCACTTCTTTCTTTTCTATTTTCTTCTTCTCCTCTCCACCAGCCTTGTTCAGAAAATTTCCTCTTCCTTCACTTTGCCTCAACTTCGGATTAAATGGTTTCTTAAAGAACTTTTTGACTTTGTTGTTAGAGTAGAATGCAATCCCTTCATCATCCGAATTCATTAAAAGTCCTTCTTCAACATCTGATTAACCACTTTCCACACTTTCCTTTTTAGTAACTTTCGAGACAAGTGCCAAAGGACCACCTAGATTAAGCTTCAACTCCTCAGCCAACTCATTTACCTCACTTTCGTGAATTTTGAGTTGATTATACAAATCATTCAATGAAGATGTGTCGAAACTTTGCTGATTTTTAACCATCATACTCACGCTTCTCCACTCTTTTTGGAGTCCCATCATAAACGTAAGATTAAATTCCATTGCAGACCGAGTGATACCATATCGATTGCATCGATATATCGGCTCGTTGAAGCGATCATAGTAGACCTCGATTGTCTCATTCTCCTTCTGTTGAAATTCACCCAGCTCCACCAAACATTGTTTCACTAAGTTAATTTTCGTCTTTTTGCTTCCTTGATATTTATCCTTAAGAGTGTTCCATATCTCCTTCGCACTTTTACAACCATGAACATAGTTGTAAACCACTGGTGGTAATGCACCTCTCAACTCCCTCGGACATCGTTTCTCATGTTTCTTCATTCTATCAACACGTTCATCAACAGCCGCAGTTGAATTCAAAGAACCAATGTTTTGAGCATTTGCAGGAGGTTGTGTAGTTCCATAGATGCAACTCCATAATTCTTCATCTATGCCGTTTAGATAATCCTCCATTCGGTTAGCCCAGTGATCGTAATATTCTGGACTCACACATTAGAATTTTAGTAGAAGATCCTAAGAGATGCGAGAAAGAAGTCATCGTGTTCATGTTAAAATTCGCCATCGTTGTACGGATTTGAATTTTTCAAAAAGTTTGAAGAATTTTGTATTTGATTGAATGAATTGAACAAAATTTCAAGAACAAACACTCGATTAATCAGATTTAATGTAGAATCGAATCAAAACTTATGATCCTCGATGATTTTCTGAATCTAATTGTGCAGAAACTATTGAATCAAGTTTTATGATTCAAATACAACAGATTCAACAGAAAATCAGATCGCAGTTATGAATCCTGCTCTGATACCAATTGAAGAATTGATAATCAAGTAATGCGAATCAAATCAGAATGAAAACGAAATGAAAGAACACGAGATGTAAATATGATCTTGTTTCAGCTCTATTATACTTTCACAGTTTTACAGAGAGTACTAAGATAAGTTCTGTAAAGACTTATACTCTGTCTCTAAGTAAAGTTCTTATTTGTTGGGAACAGGAAAGTATACAGAAAAATACTAAGACATTACATTTAAGCTTCAAGCATACAATTGTCTTAGTAAATACATTACAATTACACGAAGGGTATAGTCTTTGACTCATTACAAAATGTTTTCGACCCTAACATTATGCATTCCAACTCCATTTTTCAACTTCTTTTCTTTTCCATAAGTGTCTTTTAGCTACAAAACATAATTCCAAGCTTAATCAACATCATTTATATTAAATTGTATCGATATATGACTCAAAGTATTAAGATATCATACGGAATATATGCATATAATAAGCATAGTAATCTTAATCCATCATTGGCGATTACTTCTTTAAGAGTCTCAGATAGTGCCCACGACCTAACCATTTATCATGTTGAATATCTCTAAGACTTTCCTTGTATGTTGGGATACCTTTTTCTAATAATGGCTTACATATGCACACACTACACCACTTCTAAATCTTAAACCGTTCTTCCCTAGCGAGACTTGAGCTATCAACCTTTGGTTGAGGATACAAATTTGTCAACTCATAATATTGTTAAACAAAAGGTCCTTTGGTATGTTGGAAAATCTTTAGAGTGCCAACAACTTTTTCTATGACTATGCTTATTCCCAAAATTTGTCTGCTAGCTTCCAAGTCCTTTCATCTTAAACTCTTTTGATAACTACTCTTGTTCAATATGTTGATCTCTTCAATGTATGATCCAACTATCAACATATCATCAATATATATTAAGAAGATGATGTAAGAGAAGCTAAACTTCATTAGGTGGGTAGCAACATTGATCCATCTCAGACCTGTATAGCCATACACTTCATTAAACTATCACATTTTAAGTACCACTCCCCTAGAGCTTGCTTCAACCCATACATGTTTTTCATCAACATTCACACCATATTTTCTTATGATAGTTGTTATTTTACAAATGGTAAGAATATCTCATTATCGTCAAACTTCCATCTTCCATTGAAACTCTTTAACCACAAATATAACTTTGTACCACTTATTGCCATCAATTTTATCTTTGACTGTGACTACCGCACATAGTAAGTTGCTTGAGCGGAACCATATTGATAAGTCTTAAGATAGCGTAGGTGATGCCTTGTTAGTACCATGTCGATACCTGATGCCACATTAGGAGTAACTAGGGGTGCAAACAAGTCAAGCTACCCATGAGCTACTCGGGATCAACTCAGTAAAATCTCGACTCAAAACCAATTTTAAATGAGCCCGAGCCGAGCTTGAGCTCGAGCCTATGTCACTATGCTCGATTAGGCCTGAGAGCCTAAACGAACCTATATAATATAATTTATTATTATTTTTATATATTAAAATAAATAATATTGGAGGAATTGGTGATTTGGGGTATTAGTAAACGAGCTTAAACCAAGTTGAAGCTCATTTAGGCACGTTCGACAAAAAACAAGCCGAACTCGAGCCTGAGTCGATCTTGTATAATGCTTTACGAGCCTGAGGCGAGCTCAGTACAAGAAAGCTCGAGCCTCGTATAACTGAAACGAGCCCGAGCCGAACCTGACCAGGCTCGGGCTCAACTTGGCTCGCTTGCACCCCTAGAAGTAACCAATTAAATTGACAATAAAATGTTATGTTTTGAAGTTAATAATCATCGATTTAAACATATAGGATATATGGTCAACAATTAGTAACATTAACTTTTTTTTTTCTGTAAAAATAACTAAAGGACTGTATAAATTTTTTATAATCATATACATAATCTGATTGTCGTAAAAATTAACCTTTTATAGTTAAATTGCTTATTTTATTATAAAACTATAACATATATTTTAAAAATTTTATTGCAAATATTTTTTTCTGTAACAAAAATTTCTAAAATATTTATTCTCTAAACTAAACGCTAACTAAAAATATAATAAATTTAACAAATAATTTGTTTTTATTTTTATTTTTTATGATGGAACAACTAACAACAAAATAAGCCATCTTTTAAAAGGTAGATATAAATAAACAATAATCGTTTGAAAATTGAAAGCATAGATGTAGGGGGCACAAAGCTCCATATCTACACTTTACGCATTTCCCGTTTGTTAGGTATTGAAGTAGTGACAAAATCTTGTTTATTTTATTACTTATTTTACGAATACTAAAATTAAAAAATGATAATTTATTTACACTGAATTATCTTATTCTACTTTGTTTTATCATTATTATTATTTTTATTGTGACATTGTATTATAAAAGGCCTCCTCAATTAATATCATTGTTTTTCAAAAAATGTTTCAGTGTAGTAAATTTGTCAAAATATTAATACGGAATAAATGTGGGATATACAAGCCACATGGGCAGAATACAAAGGCATACAACAAAATGATAAAAACATACATTTACAAACTACATATATGCTATAATATAACGCTAACAGAAACCACTTACAAAAGGGAAAACATTACTAGCCTCTAGAGTTGAATTCCAAGATTAAGTTCTAAAAAATCAATTTTATTTACTTTGTAAAGTTGGTCATTTTGCAAAATTGTGTCATAAATATATTGTCATATCTTAAACTTCTAATGTAAACAAAATAGTCACATTCTAGCAAGTAGTCATGGAATAACTCAAAAGTTTTGTGAGGACAAATATGTAATCACAATCTATTTATTTTCTGAAAAAAAAAAATCAGAATCCTATTTCAAGATCTTCTTTTAGCAAAATATATTTTCAAAATATTATTCTAAAACAAATTTCCATTTCCTAAAATATGAACCAAAAAGAGGTTAGTATATCTTAATATCGATATCAATAAAAAAACACACATACCTACACAAATATATTGTTTGTAAATTTCATCAGTCCTTTATTTATATTGTAACTTATCTATTATATATGCGTTAAATGTATAAAAATATTACATTGATAGTTTTCTGGTTTAAGCTTAACCCAATTGGTCCTATCTCTCTTGTTTCAACCAGACAAAAGGATGCTTTTACATAAAAGAAAAGAATATGATCCTCAAGAATCTATTCTCTTCAAAGACCATACCACAAAAACTCAATCACATCACCTTGGAATCATCTTAACTATTGGAGCTTTTCGTCATTTGTTTCTTGATTCCCTAATCACCCGTGCAAATTAAGCAGGCATATACTGCTTCAGCCCCAAGCGTATTTTGTGATATAATTATATTTTGGGTCTGGGGCAGGAGAAAAAAGAAATAAGCAAAACCATGGATTCATTTAATTTTGTATCTATCTCCAATGATTTTTTTTTTCTTTGTTCACAACATAATTGAACACATTAATGATAAATTTTGGGATTGGGAATTGAGAAAAATATATATATATATATATATATATATATATATATATATATATATATATATATATATATATATATATATATATATATATATATATATATATATATATTTTTTACTATGACTCCTAACATAATGCCAAAAATTTTGGAGCCCCTTGGAAGGATGAGCCATGTCAGTCGCCCTTGTTGCTATCATCTGGGACGACCCTAAATTTAGATACACAGCAGCAAACTAGTTAGCTGATATAAAAATCATACCCATAGGAAGTCCAACCTACGTTAGAATTGGAACTCTTACACTGTAACTGTTAAAACTTAGACTCTGGTTTTCTATAAGGATACCACCCAAAAACCAACTAATTCTAGTTCTTTACGACAAGTGATGAAGAAAATACGCCTTCAAGAAAGTTCGTACCGGCCATTCATAGTGGAGGAAGGAGATATTCTATAATCAAATATATATAGATGAGTTTGATTTTGATACGCTCTTTTCCATACAAAGGAATATATTCATAAAGCTCAATCACCAACCAAATTCGTTCTTTTTCTTGAAAGTTCTTAACTAATTTAAAATATATGATTAAATACAAGAAAATTTGTGTACTTTCATTGATTTGTATCATCGTTTTTTTTTTTTTTTTTTTTTTCACATTACAATATTATGCTTTAAAAACTCTACCCAATTATAACACATGCATATGAAAAAAAAAAAAAAAAACAATTTTCAATATTATAACTAGATAAATTGTACACAACAATTTTTAACCATACATAACAATTTATACATTAAACGGTTGGACTATACAATTGTATAAAACATAAATTATTGTGTATGCCCAAAAAATGTTGTGTAAGGATCACCACCTATTATAAAAGTTTAATGTCCTTAATAAGGAAAACATTATAAGTATAATTCTATAATTAGGTATTGTTTTACATAGTCTTAGTGAAAATAAGAGAAAGTAAAAGTCTAATAATGTAATAATACATAAAATATGAAAATAAGATGTTATAATAAACAACTAAATGACATTGATTTGCAATTCTCGTTTGTACATTTAAAATAAGCTTCATCCAAAACCAAATATATAAAATTACACATCAAAACCCAACTTATATAACATTCGAAAGCCAAATTCGAAATCCTAGGGGTACAAAGGGTGGTATGTTATATATGATTAAAAACATACAATGTTTAACAAATATTTACCAACGTATCAAACTCCATAAAATGATTCAACAACAATCAATAAAACGACTAGACACTGCAAAATAATATTGTTTTGATCAAAATTGTACGTCACTAGCTATGACTATATAATAATGGGAACAAACTATATGCAAGTTGAGGCCTTTGAGGTGCGCTTATTCGTACCAAGGATTATAACAATAACCGTCACATCATCATGATATTTCCTTCTCCTCCCAGCCGGAACACTCATTAGCTCTTCCGTACTAAAACCTGCAAGATTTCAACAACCCCTGAGCTGACACACACTATCATCTCACATAATGTAAATAAAGATATACAGTGGCCCACTAGCTAACTGACATAAAGTCTAATCCATATTGGAACTGAAACTCTCATACTGTAGTTGTTGACAATCGTACCGTATTTTTTTTATTTAACGTAACAAAGAACATGAACCGCAAAAAATTTATATTTTGTTAAAGTTTCTTTTGATCTTTTAGATCTTTTAGTATTTTTGTTGTCAAAAGTTTAGCTTTCCATGTCTACAAACCTACCATTGAATTGACTTTTTTGAATCTTTTGAAATTCGTTTAAATTTGATGTTGATATTGAACTTAACCCCACCGTTTCTCCATTTTGAAAACCATCGGTCAAGATTTGGTGATTGAAAACTATCATGCTTTTAATTTATTTCTATATTATAGCATCCCACTTTCATTTCTTTCAATTATAATATTGTACTTTGAACTTTGAACTTTTATTATTATTATTATTATTATTATTATTATTATTATTATTATAAACAAATGCACGAAAGTACATTGCTATTTCTTGCAAAGTTTACCTGCAGAACAAGCGGCTTTGAGAACAAGCTGCTCCAAAAGATATTTGGCTGGATCTCCAGATGGTTTGGTGGATATATAAGAATGAACAAGCTTCACAGCTTCCTCATTGGTGAAAAAATCAAATAAACCATCACTTCCAAATATCACAAAATGATCAGAGCTTGAAATTTCATGCATATACAACGATGGTTGGACAGAAACATATGGAGGACTTAGAAGATTACGAACACGAAGAATACCCATCAAAGCATCATTCAGAACTTTCTGTAAATAAACACAGAAAAGTAAGGATTAATAGAAAATTTACAAATGCACACCAAGTGTTTGATGAAATGCTTTTCTTACCTTTTTCAAATACCCAACGCCAAAAGCCCTAGTAACCTTTAACTTTCCTTTCACTTTTCCATGCATGATTGTTTTTGGATCATCAGGATGTTCGCTAATAACTTGGCTTCTTTCAAATTCGTTATCAACTGTATGACTATCTGTTAACTGCACTGCTTTCAACCCTGTAAATTCATTGATTTTGTTTTTGTTTTCATTTTCATCATCATCGGTTGCTAAAACTGCTCTACTATCGCCTAAATTGAGTATGTACAGATTCTTTCCATGAATAAGGCCAACAAGAACACAAGATCCGACTGAAACTATATCGGGTCGATCCTCCATTTCTTGTTCAACCATAAACAAGAAATCATTTTCCGCTTGATTGAGCGCACGCTGTAAGCTTTCAAGAACTTGATTTTTAGGTCGTCGGGGGACTACCCCCATGTCACCATCTCCAAGAAAGTAATCGTCAAATCCATTTGTAAATTCGTTGGAGTAATCGATGTCTAATGAATTTAGGTTAAACCTAATCGTTTCATAAAACGTACCCGCTAAAAAATCAGCCGCATCCCGTCCATTAAACCCATCGTAAATCGCGCAGAAAAGCCAACCGTTCTCCTCCGAGCACACCGCCTGAACCCTATCTTCACCGGCGGCACCACCAGCGACTTGCACTTCAATCGCGTTAAGAAAATCTTCGCTTCTCGAAGGTAAACTCAAGGGTTTTGATAGAAACGAATCGAAATCGAGATTTTCAGGGGTTGATGGACTACAACTCAGATTAGACATACTGCTTTGGAAAGAAGACGATAGTAGATCTAATTTTGAGAACGATGGAGAAGACGGTATTCTTCGAAATGATTTGGGGGAATCGATCGATGGGAGAATTTCTGAACTGATTAATCCGTTGCAGATATTTGTGTTTGCTAATGTTGCGTTGGCGCTAATGGCTGCTCCTGAGAGACAAGTGAAAGAACTGTTGTTTCTTACGAGCTTTTTTCCGGTGGGAATGTCGTATCCATCGGTGGTGTTGCATTGATATTCGAAACTTACTTCCATTTCTCCACCGGGATCAAGGATTGCTTTTTCATGCATCATTTTCAATCTATAAAAACATTAGAAATGGAAAATGAATTTAATCCCATTACTAGATTGAGTCAAAACATGTGTTTACAATAACAAAAGTTTAGTTCTAAGAATATAACACCCGCTCCCGAGTTCTAGCAAAGAAAGGAAGGAGAGAAAAGAAGAGAAAAGAAAGAAAAAAAAAATTGTTATTTGTGCTCCCGAGTTGGAGAGAAATTGAAGGAAAATTAAACATTTTGTTCTTTCTTTTCAAATCCTCCCAAATCGGAAGGAAAGTTAGGAGGGAAAGTTTTCCTTTCATTTCCTTCCACTTCCTTCCTTTAATGAAACTCGGGAGCACCATTCTCTCTTACTTTCCCTTCATTTCCTTCCATTTCCTTTTTTTTCTCTCTTTAAGTTGAACTCGGGAGCGGGGTTTAGATTGATTATGATCTTGGAAGGGTTTAGATTGATTATGATCTTGTGGATCAAAATTAATATTACAATAAATGGGGTTTTTATTTTTATTCTTATTTTATTTTATTTTATTTTGTTGACTCTTTATCATTCATCCTACATAAAATAACATAAATAAATTAGAAAAACTTTTTCTTGGATTAATGAACATATTACTCGATCAAATAAATTACACGAACATAACGTGTGCATCTATTTCAAATGCACACACGTGAGTAACCAAAAAGAATTTCGTGTTTATATGATCCCTATTCATATTACAAATTGACATTTATATGTTTTTCTTCTTCCCGATGTTTGAATAAAATGTTTTTACGAATATATGATACTTCAAATAGTTATGAAAATGATACTTTCGGTTTATTTATGATAATGAACAATTAATTCCATTAGATTAGTTGATTAAGGTTTGATAAAATTAATTCCATTAGGTCTAAAAGAAGCAAGTTATGATCCTACCACTTGCATCACTAATAAGTTGTTCGTTCATCTATTAGAATTCATAAACAAAAGGCCACTATATTAACAGAACCTCAAAATCCCCAAAAATAAGTCCAATTAATTTAAAGTCCGATTAATTTAATAACAATGCAGCAATCGGCAAACAATTACCTAATTAAAGAAGACAATATGATTACAAAATCCTTAAAAATAACCAAAAAATTGAAGGGTCAAGGAGTTGCGAAAGGGACATGGGTTTCAAGAATCATAAACAAATACATATAGAAACTAACTTTTACAACAAGTCAAAACTAATGACAGAATGCAGCGATTAGAAAACGAATAACCCATAATTAATTCCAAGATCCATATTTAATCTAACGTAATCACAAACAGCTCCCAAATCGAAAAAGGGTTCACGGAAATGCAGGAATCAAGACACAAATAATCATCCATCAAAGAAACACAATCAAATTCCAGAACCCAAATCGAAAAGGGTTTGATTCAAACTCATTCAAATAACAAAAAAAAACCCCAAATTAAACGATTACTTATTATCAGAAACTACGAAACGAAGCAAGAAATCGAATCTAGAACGTACCTTTGGACGAGAAACGAAGAACCCAGATGAAGAACAGTCAGTATACGCAAAGAGTGTATGTATAAGAGAGAAATTGGAATGAGTTGAGTGAGAGATGTGAGGTTTTAAAAGAGCAAAGAATCAAAGAGTGGATGGTTGAGAGGAGATGGCTTAAAATAGAATAGAGAAGTGGGAAACAGTAAGAGTATGGCAGAGGGAGGGTGACGATGGAGGAGGATACGGAAAGAGAAGGTCAACTGTGACTCTCTTTGTGATTCATGAAAACCGGTGAATTTGTTACACCACCCAAAATAAAAGGGAATGGGTCCCTTCGAAGCCCACTTGAAGTGTTTTCATCTTTCCCGGTTGCCAAGAGGCAAGAGGTTTAAATTTTTTGAAAAAAAAAGGTGTATTAGATTTTAGATCACATCTATCTACAGTAGATTTTTGTTTGTTTCTTTTATGCCTAACATAATTTGGACTTTTCTATTTCTTTATTGTTTTTGTTGTTTATGTCATATAATAATATACTTAAATGATTCATCATGGTTAAATAATTAAAAGGTTTTGGGAAATTGGGTAATTTCATTATTATAATCGAGTTAATTAACAATAATGTTTTTTGTATTTCGGATGGAAAAATGATTTTGTTTTGGAATGCTTTGTTTTGTACTGTTTATGATTGTTTTGAAGTTGGTGGTTGCTTGGTGAAATATGACATAAATGTAATGGAAAATTTAATTTTGTACATTTCGGAATGATATTAATATAGTTTGGAATGTATGGCATGGAGTATCGGAAATTAGCTTATGTACATCGTGTTCTATTTTATAGAGATTGTTTTAAAAATTATTTAAATGAGTTTCTCATCTATATTTCTATCGATCTATATTTCTATCGGTGAAAATGAACATATGTAATTAGTTTATTACAATATTTGTTTATAGTGGAGTATAATGACATTGAATAGATGCTATATGAATTTTATTGCTCTAGATTATACACGTTATGATGTGGATTAAAATATAACTTTAACTTCTTATTGGTTTTATCATTTTCAGGTATGTATTTTTTATAATTTTACATGTACAATGCTTACAACTTATTTTATGAAATTTCTTAACTAACAATTCTTTACATTACAAGTTTTTATTTTGATTTCTATTTTCATTAATGCTAGAGAAAACTTTCTCTAGTTTTCATACTACTAACATGCTCCTGCAGTAGCAATATCATGAGAAATGTTTAAAATAAAGATAAATTAATCGCATGTCTTCTTGTGGCTAAACAAAACAATAAATTATTGATGAAAAATTATCAATCAATCCCGACCAGTTCTGGTACATTCCTTGAAGTGAATGCAACTCATATAATCATAATAGTTATGAGTCTAACTGAGGTCGTGGAGATTATCATGATTATCATAAAAATAATAAAATAACTGAATGTAATTACATCAACTACCGGAGAATACGTTTCTTCATAATCAATTTCGGGTCTTTGGGTAAAACCTTGTGCAACAAGTATTGTTTTATATCTCACAACTTCATTTTTCTCATTTCTTTTGCACACAAATACTCATTCGTGTCCCACTGTTCTTACTCTGTTTGGTGTACGGACTACAGGTCCAAAAACTTTTCGTTGAGTAAGAGAATTAAGCTCTTTGTTTATTTCATCTTTCCATTTTGGCCAATCTTTTCTATTCATACACTACTTTTTGGGTTGAATAAATTGATGGCTTCGAACTGCATGTAACATATTAATTAGATTCATTCATCTTTTTGATATCCTAAATCAAATATAATTATGCCTCGTAACACTTATCTTGTGGAAAGTGGTGCTAATTGATTTGTAGGAGAAAATCGTTCCAGTGGCAATGGGTCACCCGGTACCAAAAGTAACAAAATATATAATTGATTACATATGACATTGAGTCATATGGACTCAAGAATGCAAAAGAAATTCCTTACAATAGGCATATACATGAGGGAGATGTTAGGTATAAAGGTAAGGATGTTATAGTGGAGCAAGTAGCATTGAATAAAAGCTATATGCATTAAATTGCTCTATATTACACATGTTATGATGTGGATTAAACCAATGATATCAACTTTATTTGGGTTGGTTAGATTGGTAACTTCGAAACGCAAGTAACATACTAATTGTAACGTCCCAAAATTCAAAAGTAAAAATTTTATTTTTAAGTTCATCAATCTCAAACGTCACGTGTCTCAAAATAATCCAAAATACAAACTATCACAAAATATCATAGTAAAGGAAATCATAAGTGCGAAAATCATGAGGAGGAGAATGTTATGCCATAAAGTCACGCCCTTCCTATTTATAACAAAAGTACTTCCTATTTATAACAGAAGTACATGAAACCAATAAGATATTTGTAACCACAAAGCTAAGTGTGCTTCCTCAAAATACCACATACACCATACACATAAATATAACATGTGGTTGTGTCAGGTCCGTAACAACCCCCGGGTCCGTATCGACCCCATGAAACAGCAAATAGTCGTGTTGGGTCCATATCAACCCCGAATCCATAATGACTCTAGGCCTAGATTGGCTCCATGCATATATCATACAATCACATTAATAATAGTCACATAGTTGCATACATTCTACACATACGAATCAGAGGGTCGGCCTTGGTGCCTTCAGCCTATTAGTGTAGTAAAAAGACTCACCTCTAGCCGAAGGTAACTGAATCTCACACTTGAGGTGCTGCTAACACGGCTCCTCACACTAATCAAAACCCAAATACAATCCTAATTAAAATAAAGGTTTTAACCCATAATCAATGGTCCAAATCATCATTTAAGGGCAAAAGACCCAAATGATCAAGACTATTTTTTCCTTCCCATACATAACCCAAATGATCAAGACTCAAAACTCCTAATGGCCCAAGGCCCAAAAACAGCCCAATGGGTTTTCTAGGAGTACACCTGATGTTCCCACATTACGCCCAACATACAGCACGATCTCGCAAGGGGTTTACGGGGCCTCGGCTGATTACACTCAACGTACGCTAGAGTAGTCCCCGCTTAATGTCCTGAAGCACAAACTTTCTTTTAATGTCTTAATGCTTTAAGACTTAATGTCAAAACCTCAAATCTAATCCTAATAAACCTCTAAAGCCATAAATTTGTAACCTTTATGCCTTTGCATGGAAAAAGGAAGTTCAAAACCAAAACCCTAAATTATATTATCATCTAAACTTCCATAACTCTTGCATGGATGAATACCAACGACCTAGTTTGCATTTTTATTACAGTATACACCCTAAAACGTCTGAAAGGACAACTTAAAAGCTTTAGAGTATTCCATACTCACAAAGATCAAAGTTTGGATAGAAAGAACATAAATCTTAGTTTAAACAAGATCTAGCAAAGAAAGATCCAAGGTACGAAGTTTATACCTCCTGAAGACGCACAAAGATGAGAATAATATGGATCCAAAAGCTTCATAGAAACACTGTAACTCCAAAGGTTTTCCTTCACCACTAAGAGCACCAAAATGTCAATTTAAAGCTTCAAAACTCACACACAAGAATTAGGGTTTCGAGATGGAGGCTAAGAGAGACGGAGGTTGGAGGTAAAAAAAGGGTTTAAGGCCATAAAGTTCTTTAAATAGGGTCCAAAACCTAAAAATTAGTATTTGCCCTCTGCTTAAGTATGCTCAGTGTACACACACATACTCCTAGTGTATGCGAGGGATTCAGCGACCCTCTTTAAGGACTTACGCCCGGCGTACCTATCTTGTACACCCAATGTAGGGACCAAATTTGCAATCTTTTTAAGGAATCAATGCTAAAATGAAAAATGCCTAGAACATTGGCGTTACAAATCTCCCCCACTTGAATCATACTTCATCCTCGAAGTCCGGTACTACAAAAAAAGTCTGGGTATTGCTCCTTCATCTTATCCTCGGGCTCCTACGTCCAATATGAACCCTTCCGGTGCTACCATTGCACCTCCACTAAGTTCACCACCTTATTACGCAGAGTCTTGGTGTTTTTGTCGAGAACTGCAATCGACCTTTTCATATAATTTAGGAGCTCATCGATATGAATATCATCCAAAGAAATCACCATTGAATCATCCACTACACACTTTCATAACTAAGACACATTGAATGTGTTGTGTATTTGATTGAGCTCATCACGCAAATCCAGCTGGTATGCAACCTTGCCTACTCGGGCGAAAATCTTGAAGGGACCAATAAAGCGGGCGCCTATCTTACCTCGCTTTAGAAAATCGGATGACATGTTTCCAAGCTAACACCTTTAGAAGCACTAAGTCTCCCACCTGAAACTCGAGGTGCGAACGTCACTAGTCTGTATAACTCTTCCGTCGGCTTTGCGTGACTCGTAACCTATCGTGCACATGTTGAATCAACTTAGTGAACTTGAGGACCACTTTAGTACTCCCCATGACTCAATACCCAACCTTGCCCCAACAAACTAAGGTCTTGGACCTCCTCCCATACAGATCTAAAAAAGTGGTCACTCAATACTAGCGTGATAATTGTTGTTGTAGGAGAACTCAGCTAGTGGAAGGTAATGTTGGATAAGGTGTCTAAGTCCATAACTTATTTGGTATATACTTGAACCGACCAACATGGTCCATTTGGGTTGCATCTCATCCAAACTATTATGGATAATTTTATGAGAGTTATACACATATGTTTATTAATATATTATGAGTTATAATATATTAATATGAAGTTACGTTATTTAATTAGTTTTAGTCTTAAATTAATTATGAATTAATTTAGAGATTAAAAGGAAGACTAATTAGATTATGGGCTATTTGTTTTATATAGTGTGGGCTAATACTCATTTGTTAATGGGCTAGGCTTATGTGGAAGTCCATGGATGATCCATGGAGCTTTTAACCCATGGATCCTTGGAAAGGAAAAAACAGGGGTTATTAGGGTTTCACCCTAACCATGCACACTATATAAGCATGCTTATGGAGCATGAAATGGAGCCTAAGAGAAAACTAGTGAACTAGTGTGTGTGTGTGCATGTGTGTGGCCGATTTTATACAAGGTGTATACTCTCTCAAAGTTTTCCAAGAGTTTGTGGTGTTTGTGATTCCATTTGAGGCATTCACACTATTGGTGCTTGGCCCTCAAACTCCTTAGAACCAAACTCACCAAAAGGTATGTAATCTCTTCTAACTCTTTTATGTTGAAATGTTCCCCATGCCATGTTAGATAGGTTATAAACCTTGGAAAATTATTATTTTGCATGTATTTAGACAAACATAGATCCAAGGTTTATTAGGGTTGCATGCACACTTAGGAAGTGTTAGATTGCTCAAAACCCAACAGTGGTATCAGAGCCTAGGCTTGCTTGTTTGATA